TTCTCCCTCTACCTCTGCCTGCGGCTCCCCCCTACTTGTGTTCTCTACCTGTGTGTCAAATAAATAAAATCTTTAAAAAAAAATTTTTTTTTTAAATCTCTACACCAAACATGAGGCTCCAATTTAAAACCCTGAGATCAAGAGTCACATGCTCTGCCTACTGAGCCAGCCAGGCACCCCGCTCTCTCCATTTTTGTAGCTTGTTGGAGTTTCTCTGGAAATTGCTCCTGAATGTGAGCTCACCTTTCCAGAAACTGACCAAATGGGATGCAGGGGTAACCCATCTCAGTCACAGAGGAGGCAGAGGAAAATCTAAGTTCTGGGCCCCGGTTGGGTTGTGGCAGGCTGAGGCTATAGTGACCAGTTCCCAAATTACCCATCACCTTGGCTTTGGTTTAATTCAACATGGAACATTAATTGTCTTCCAGAGGCCCCAGATTTTTTCACACCATTTGGCCCTCACTTCTCTACATGTTTTCTCATGTCAGATTATCTTAAAAGGTATCTGTGCACTCCCTCAATTGATATATTGAAACTCATTGTCCTCTTGATGTTGGGGCAAAGAGACAAGACACTTAGAAAACTCACTTTAATCTTATATTTGTAATTTAAGTTACTTTTTTCTGAACAGTTAAAAAAAAAAAAACCAGAACACACTATTTTACCATGATCCTAGGTTGTGAACATACTGGTACCTTGACTACACATCACGATAACATAACCACAAAAGTAAAAGCAGTCAGTACTTAAGAGTCTAGAGAACAGAGAGCTGAGCCAACTGAAAGCTCTCAAGGAAGCTCACACTCGTTGCCAGGCCTGCCCCATAGCTGGAGTCCAGCGAACATTCCTCACAAGAGTCTGGGTGCGCTTAGGTGATCACTGATTTGGGAAGGTGGTAGTTTCCTTGGTACCCAAACGTCTAACCCTCCTTGTTGGGTCTTTTCCTTCAGTGTCCAAGAAGAGAAAGGGATAGAGGGGAAGCGACACTTTATAATGCCATTCACCACACTGATCCTTAAACACACACAGAGCCAACCACGAGCTGAGAGAGCTGGGGGGACTGGAGAGCATATGTTTTAGAGGTCATCTGCCTCCAGGAAATTTTAGATCATAGGTACTCAACTTCCAACAGAAGAGGTTTCCATATATCAATGCATTAAGTTCCACTTCCATATATCAATGCATTAAGTTCCACAAGAAATCAGGCAGCCATAATTGTGCTCTTTTGGTTTCACTCCTCAGTTCAAGTATTCTGAAGTCACAAATGAACTACAGATAAAAACAGCAGAAGCAAAACTCAGCTTTATTACCCTAAGAGATGGCTATCTTTCTGGCACTGATTATGTTGAGCCAATGGTAAAGTAAGGGGCTCTGCTCTGTCAGTGATCAGCTATGTGGATGAAGCCCAGGGAGATGAACTCCGCCTTCAGGCTTTGGGTGTGCTGGTTACAAGTGAGAGTTATTCTAGGAGGGAAAAAAGGAAGGCAAGGAGAAGCAAGGGCACCTTTTCATGTTCTCCGGGCTCTTGGAAAGTCTGTGCAGCTCACCCAAATAGGGAAGATCAGAAATGTGGATTAAAGTCACATGGTAAACCTGATCATCAAAGAGTGTGATGGTCACAGGTGGTGGGTATCTAAGCATCCCTTTTTCCACCAGGAAGTACCTTTGGATTCCTCCCGAATTAAGCTTGCAGCCTAGGCTCTCACGCCTGCACTATTCTGGGTTGGACTGCTTACACTTCAGGCAGGAAGGTATTATCACCTAAAATAAATGGAAGATGCCAAGAAGGTCAACAATACCAAGGTATCTAATCTACTTCTAGGAAAGAAAAAAAACACCCTAATTATTTCCAATATCCCCTACCCCCCTCCACCCCAAGCCCTTGGTTTCCACATACAATCAAGTGCTAAGTAAGGAGTAGACCAACCACAGCTGTTCCGACCAATGGGTACCAGGAGATGGCAGAGGAGAAGAGTGCATATTTTCTTCTCTTCAGCCTATGACTTTACAAAAGAAAAATAAGGATTTTTCTTACTCAAGCAGAAAACAGAATGATTTAGGGGTCCCAGGTTTTTTTTTTTTTTTCCAGTTCAGAAACAAGTTATGAGGGCCAGACTTTATTACTTGTCAATAGAGTTCCAGAGAGTCCTGTCTCTGAAGTTTCTGGTGAAGAGTCACCAGAAAAAATCTTGCCAAGGGACAAGTGTAAAAGGCCTCCATTCACAATTCATGTCCACTTTCAAATGGCACGTAAGAAAGGAAAAGGATGTTCTCAGCAGTGAAAATACACACACGTGCAGCAAGGCATGCTGGTTTTGTCCAAGCAGCCCACGTGTGATTGGAGAGCTCCCAAGTGCCCAGAGAGTTCCAGGGTGCAGGTGCAGGTGCATGCACGCGCTCCTTGCGTGCCCGCCTTTGAAGGGGCTTCCTCCCATCTTTAAGAAACACCTCTTTCAGGCCCACACTGGAATTTTAGTGAGAAGAGACTAATCTACAATGGAGACATGCCATTTCAGAGCCAACAGACTCCTTCAGCTCCTTTTCTACCATTCCTTTCAATGTATTGAGACTTTCTTTGTTTCTCTTTTCTTTTTAAAAAGGTCAAACTTTACATTTATTCTAGCCCAGTTGGGGATTAGTGATAATCAATTCCGACCGAAATCATGCAGAGATGGTAAGTGGGGTTTACCTTCTCTGGAAATGAACTTCTACTTACCTGATTATTTCTTCTACAATGAACTGGTAAATGACCCCCAGAGCTGAGAAATGTGACTGACTCAGTTTTTCAGACCACTTAACTTCATTCCCATTTCCATCAGCAGCAAAGGACAACTTGGAGAACATGCTCGATGGAGCTAATGGCTCCAGACTGCAGGGTCCACCCTTGATCTCATTTATGAGGTACTGGACAAGCTTCAAAACAATCTTAGAAATAATCTACCTTCAACTGAACCTACATGGGAGAGCAAAACCCCGGGCACCAATGAATATTCAACAGCTCCCACTTTTAAATAGCAGCATATAACAGAAAGGCTAGTAAAGTTATGGCTATTGGACAATATTTTCAAACAGCTTGAAAGCCACGCCCCTTTAATGCCTGACCTGTGTGTTACTCAGGGCTGATGGCCCTCTGCCTCACCTATAGCAAAATCCTTAACCAATCGAAAAGCCAAAAATAGTCAACACAATAGACAAGGAACTCTGATGACAGCTAAATAGAAAACATTTCTCTGTAGCGTTTGGGTGGGTGGGAAGGGACTTATACTCAGAAAATATCTCCCAGGCAATGACATATTACACTGGGAAATATTTTCTGAATATAACCTGGAACCAAAAGCTTAAAAGCTCTCCTGAAGCTGGAAAGGAAAAGCGGATATGCATAACTTACTCCTCAATACATAAGAACAACATTCAGTCACATCAGAAGGGAAGGGTGAAGATGGCTTTCTCTCCCTCTCCCCCTTGCTGAACTAAAGGTGGTCTGGCTTTGAGGTCATCTGCAACTGGCTTCCATTCTGATGTTTTTACAGCAGCTGGCTAAAAAGGGGCTTTCTTTTACTCAACTGCTTTGCTTAGGAACAGAAACAACAGGGCTGACTAACTGCTCAGCTCCCAAGGGAAACTAGAGACTGCAGTGTGGCCTTGAACCTGTGATGGAGGTGCCCACGCCACATGAGAGGGCTGGTGCAGCCCCGTGCCTCCCCCGGGAAACAAGCTGGGCACATGCTAGTAGTATTTCCTGTGTTCTCAAGTTGGGGTGGCACACACGCCCTGCCCGACACTTATACAGCTGCCTTTTAAGTGGCCAGGTTGGCCTGGCCCTTGCTGAGGTCCATTTGTTTATGTTGCTTACCAACTTCCAGAGAAATTTTATTGGCTGGGGAGAGTGGAGAGTTAAATAAGGCCGGAGGAGGAAGAAAAGGAAAGAGAAGGCAGTTTCTGCCCCATTAGTAAACCCTGTGTGCCAAAGTTCACCCTGATCCTCTTTCTGGCAGCTTTGCCCTTTTGTAAATACCAGGTTTGGGAAAAGCAGGAGGAAGGTTCTGCAGTGCAAGGTTGAGATGATTAGTTTGCTTTCTGAGAGATGATATTTACTGTTCTAAATGAGAAAGAAATCCATTTTTACCTCTGACCACCTCTCAGCAACCTGATCATGGTCTTGGCAAAGACACAGGAGCTGGGTGTCCACAGACCCTGATGAGCAAATCAGAGATGTGAACCATTATGCGGACTGCACCCAGCGACTGGCTCCGGCCATTTCAAACCTTTCTTTAGGCTGAGCCTTACCAGTGATTTAAGATTAAGTACAATGCTTTTTATTACACATCTAATTGTTAATGAGAGGAAATGCAATCAGCAACTCCTTTGCACACTCTACATGGAATCGAGGAGACTGCTGAGTCCAGAAAAGATGTGGCCATTGATGGAGCCCAGGCGATTTCTGCCCCACCCCCACCCCCACCTTTTTAAACGGAGGGGGGTGTTGTTAAGAGAGAGAGAAGAGTTGCAAATATGATGAGAGTACCTTCTAAGAACCCACTGCTGCCACACAGGGTCACTTGCAGCAAAAGCCTGGGTTTGAAATTTTGACTGGACAGCGTTTAGCTCTTCCAAGTGTGGCATTTTCTCTGATTTGCCTCATGTTAACTGAGAACCTCTCTTCATACTCTTTCTTCTCAGGTGCAGCAGAGAAACAGGTTGAAGTGGGGGGGGCGGGGGGGTAGTGACAGAAACAGAAAGAGATGAAAGGAAAGAGGCCCAGATCTTCCAGTGTGTACTTTTGTTTTCTTTCTCACCCCAAAGGCCATACAGACAGCTGTCTTCTCCTAAGCACAGTGGGGCTCGGCTGATCCTGCCAGGTGCTGGGCATTCCTGGAGTTCACAGGGAGAAAATGGGTGCTGTCTGGCTTGAAGCTGTATCCCCTGTCCCCTAGAAGTTGGTCTCCCAGAAGGCTATATAGGGAAACTAGTTCTTCTGCTTAACGGCAAAGCAAGAGAGATTCTGGCAAAACACTAAATATATTTATAAGTCATCTTTGTCTGGAACCAAATGAGGAAAAACAGGTGCAGAGAGGAAAGGAGGGGAGGTGAGGTGAGGTTTAAAAGTTCCAATCATTCACAAAAGATAAAAGACATCTTCTGATAGCAGCACGGAAGCAGTCAGCTGTGCTGAGTAGACCATCCTGGGTCGACTGCAGACCAACTGTGTCCCAACAGGAGTCTCAAAGCCCCGTTCCTCGGCTAGTCCGGGGAAGTGGGTAGTAGTTTGATTGTTACTGTTGTTGCTCATCCTGGTATTGGCAGATATGTTAAATACCGCAACTCTAATGAGTCCTGTGTGAAAACAGAGCACAGAGTCATTAGTCCCTTTCCCTACATTTCTCACTTGTTCTTTTTTTTTTTTTTTTAAAGATTTTATTTATTTGAGAGAGAGAATGAGATAGAGAGAGCATGAGAGGGGGGAGGGTCAGAGGGAGAAGCAGACTCCCTGCTGAGCAGGGAGCCCGATGTGGGACTCAATCCAGGGACTCCAGGATCATGACCTGAGCCGAAGGCAGTCGCTCAACCAACTGAGCCACCCAGGCACCCCATACATTTCTCGCTTGTTCTAAGAGAAGAACATTAACTTAGCTGTCAATTGGAAGAAAGGCTCAGAGGTCCTTCGTAACACCTGCTCTCTGCCCAGGCCAAGCAGGAGCTTCTGTCAAGGGTGACACAGGCTGCGTGGGGACATGGTGGGGCTCACGGACATGCTCAGGGCCGGACATGCTCAGGGCCGCAGCGCTCGTGCAGTGTGACTCTGACATAAGAGTGACTCTGCTCCCTGTGATGGTGGAGTAGGTGAGGCTAGCTCTGAGGTTCTGGCCCTGAGTGGCCAGAAGCATAGTTGTGCCACCAGCAGAAGGGGAACAGCAGGGTGAAGCTGTCCGGCCTTCTGGCTGGAGGGCCCTGGAAGAGTGGATGAGGGGAAAGTCTGATTGTGAGAAGTGTGCACCAGACATGTTCCTTGTAACTTCAAGGACAGGTGTGTAGGTGGTGGCTGGTAATGTGGCCTGGAGATTAAGACAGAGGTTGGGACTAGAGATACAAATTTGAGGGTCATCTACATTGAGATGAGAGCTGAAGCCTCGGGAAGAGAAAAAGCAGCCAAAACAGGAAGGCTTGATAAGGAAAAAAAGTCCGAGACACACTCTTAGGGGATGTCTATGTTTCAGAGGTGAGAGGAGAAAGGAGACCAACAATCAGAAAGCCAGGAAGAATATTAAAAATGGCAAAATGCCATAGTAATCTAAGGAAGAGAAAATTCTGGCAAAAGGAGGGGATAGATACATGATGATTACAGTATTACTAACGATGACCACTTTTTACTGAGGGCTTGTCCTGTGCTAGGCACTGTGCTAAGCACTAAGAATTTTTCATAGGACACTTCAGTGCAATCCTCACAACAGCTCTGTGAAGTAGGGATTGCAATCCATCTTACTAATATGGAATCTAAGGCTCTGGAAGTTGCTTGCTCAGGGGCACACATCTAGGATTCTCACCTGAGCCTGCCTGGGTAAACTGGCTGAGGGATAGGAAGTGGTGTGTCCTCTGTGAGAACAGTGAGCACTGAAGTGAGTCCAGCAGGGCATGGACCACCCCACTTAGAACCACTACAAAAAGATATGCAGAAAAGTGTACTAAATCTGTACTTCGGCCATTGAACTAAGGTAAATGTGGGAAATAAGAAATCATAATGACAGTAACATTCCCCAGTAGTGCAGTTTCCCCAACCCAATGATAACCTCATTAATGGATCTGAACTGCTTGACACTGGGTGTGATCTGAATATACCATCACATAGATAAAGATGAAATGTGGGATGTTCTCCTTCCTCAGAGGGAGGTTGGAGACTTGAGTGGGAGAATAAATGGAGTTGTCACCAACTCCGAGCTACTATCAAGGTCTTTTTTGGAGGGGGTGGGGAGTGGGGATGAGGATAAAAAAGCCATGTTTTATAATCCAATGACACTGACAAGGCTGTGAGAAGTCAGCCGAGAGGTGTCACCAAGAAATTTTCTACTCACATATTATTTACTTGGTTTAAAGGGTTTCTATTATAGGAACTGGTTTGATCTGGGAACTACATAGTCACCGGCCTTATGGCTTACTCTCAGCTTTGAAACTGATTCAAATCTCATTTTATTTTCTTAACAATCCTATTAGATAACTGGGGCAGAAATTATTCATTCAAATCTAGATCAAGAATCATCTAGAATTGAGGCTAGCTACCTTGATGAAAGACAGTGTCCAGTGCAGCCCCAGCCCTGTCTCATGTTGTTGCTTCACCTGCTTTATAGGAATTGGAGAGAGAAAGGGTACGAGAAGGCTCCAGGAGCTAGCAACAGCCAATATTCCATCTCCTACCCACAGTGCTATTTACACAATTCTTTTTCATACCTGGGCAAGTATGAGGTCACTGTATGATTATTTATCTGGAGATGTAGGTGTATGTTCGAGAAGGGGAGCGGGGGGGTTCAGCTTGGGCAGCTGGGTCGTTTAGGAAGTCCCAGATGAGGATTGTGTCATCATGTGAACTACTGACAATCTGGAATTCATCAAACTGGAGTCGGAAAACTCTTCCAGAATGCTCCTAAAGCAGCAGAAACAAAAACTTTTGAACTACTCAAAATCAAAAGGACACAAATTCAGCAATATGTCAAAAGAAGTCTATGGAAAGACTATGTGTATGATGATAATCTCTAATATTTAGCTGTTTCAAGAACACAGAGAAAAAGCAATTTGGATTAAAGGCAGAAGGGAGAAAGTCCAATATTGGGCAGTTGATTCTGTACAATCAAAGGTATATTCACTAGAGCTGAGCCACGTCAAAGAACATGCTAGTTTCTCACTGCTAACTCTCCTTAGTTTAGGCTGAATGAGAACATTTCTCAGTACCTCCCTGGCCTTATTCTCTTTCTGTATCTGTTGGATTCTTCTACAATCAGAGGCCAAGGATTGATGAGCAATAATACGAGGTGTGCTGGTAAATGTTTATCAACTAATTCTCCCCAATTTGTAAAAGCATTCACACATTTTTGTGGTGTAAAAATTCCTACAGTGGCTAATTTCAAGCTACCCATGTGAGGTCAACAAGCTTGCAAAACTCATGACAATTCAACAACTGTCTCTCATTAGCAAGCCTGCTCTAGTGCACACGGGCATACCACCTTGATCAAGATGTATAATATTTCCAGCATCCTGGAAAGTGCTCTCATGCTCCTTACTTCTCAATACTACTTTCACCCCAATGCTTTCATCAATTCATTTTTTCTGTTCCTGAAGTTCACATAAATACACTCATGTAGCAGGTATTCTTTTGTGCCCAGTTTCTCTTACTCAACAGTGCAAGATGCGTCTTCGTTACTAACGTTCTTTTCTAAAATTACCGGTTGCCATTCCATAATATGAACACACTACATTTTATCTTTTCTCCTATGATGGACGTATGGGTTGACTGTAGTTTTGGCTATTTAATAAGGCTGCTATGAACATTTATGTCCATGTTTTTTGAAGGATATATGCTCTCATTTCATCTAGTAGAGCTGCGGGGCCACGGAGTAGGTATATGTCTAGCTTTAGTATGTACAGGGAAACAGCTTTATTTTTTTTCAGTTTTATAAAAGCTGTGCCAATTTATACTCCCACCAGCAATGTATCAGAGTTCCAGTTGCTCCACATCTTCACCAACAAACTGATACTATAAATCTTTTTAATTTTAGACATTTTGGTATGTTACTGGGGTTTCAATTTGCATTTTTCTTTATGAAGTTAGGAAGTTCCCCCTCTATTCCTAGCTTGTTGAGTTTTAATCATGAATTGACACTGGATTTTGCATGTACTGATATAACAGTGTGATTTTTCTTCTTTAGCTTTTTGATGTGATGGATTAGATAGTTGAATTTTTGAATACTAAACCAGTTCTGTATACCTGGAATAAATACCACTTGGTCATGGTGTGTACACACACACACACACACACACACGCATACATTATACATCGTTGGATTCAATTTGCTAATTTTTTGATGAGGATGTTTTTTTAAGAGTTACTTCATTTTCCTGGCATACTGCTACCTTTTAAGTAAGTATAGAAATTTTCTTTACTGTGAAATCACTAAATATAAGGACAGTGACAAGACTACACTTAGATTTGAAGAAAAGTGTTTAAAATATTACCAAAAAATCCTGCATAATACTCATATTAGTCATACAATTGTGTTTGCCTACTACCTTATTTTAAAAAATATTTTAATTTGTATTATGGTAGAAACCACATAAAATTTATATTTATCCATTGTTAAGTGTACAGTTCAGTGTTGTTTTTTTTTAAGGTTTTATTTATTTATTTGACAGAGAGAGAGAGACAGCTAGAGAGGGAACACAAGCAGGGGGAGTGGGAGAAGGAGAAGCAGGCTCCCGGCAGAGCAGGGAGCCCGATGTGGGGCTCGATCCCAGGACCCTGGGACGATGACCTGAGCCGAAGGCAGACGCTTAACAAGTGAGCCACCTAGGTGCCCCTATAGTTTAGTGTTGTCAGGTACATTCACATTATTGTACAATCAATCTCCAAAACTTTTTCATTTTGCAAAACTGAAATTCTAAACCCATTAAACAACAACTCCCCATTTGTCTCTCCCCTCAACCCCTAGCAACCACCACTCTATTTCTGGGTTTGACCACTGTAGATACTTCATGTAAGTGGAACAGTACAGTATTTGTCTTTTGTGACTGGCTTGTTTCACTTAACATAATGTCCTCAAGTAGTATCCATGTTGGAGCACATGACAGTATTTCCATTCTTAAGGCTGAATAATATTCTCCTGTACGTATATACCACATTTTGTTCATTCATTCATCTCCTGATGAACACTTTGGTTGCTTCCACCTCTTGGCTACTGTGAATAATATATGAATATGGGTATGCAAATAACACTTTGAGATCCTGCTTTCAATTCTTTGGGATATACACTCAAAAGTGAGGGCGCTTTATCTTTAGTATTTTGAGAAACCCCATACTGCTTTCCGTAGAGGTTGCACTATTTTACTTTCTTTACAAGAAGTAAATGAGCTTATAGATTATCATCTGTGTTCATGAGACATATGATCTGTACTTTTCTTGTAATACCTTTGTTTGCTTTTGGTATGAGGGTAATGCTGGCTTCATAGAATGCGTTAGGAAGTATTTACTCTGCTTCTATCTTCTGTAAAAGATTGTGAAGAATTGGTATAATTTCTTCCTTAAACATTTGGTAGAATTCACCAGTGAACCCATCTGGGCCTGGTGCTTTCTGTTTTGTAAAGTTATTAATTATGGATTCAATTTCTTTAACAGGCATAGGCCCATTCAGATTATCTATTTCTTCCTATGTGAGTTGCAGAAGATTATATCTTTCAAGGAATTGATCCATTTCATCTAGGTTATCAAATTTGGGGGCATAGAGTTGTTCATAGTATTCCTTGATTACTATCCTTTTAATGTTCATGGGATCCAAAGAGATGCAAAATTGGGTTTAACATTTGGATGCACATAAAAGTGGTTAACAAAATCCATTCCTAACTAAAACTCTCAGCAATCTAGGAATACAAAAAAGCTTCCTAATCCCCTGATAATGGGTATCTACAGAAAATCTACAGCTAACATGTATCTATACATATGTATATACAAACTGGTGAAAGACCAACTGTCTTTTCCCCAAGATAAGGACATCCACTCTTACCAATTCTTTGAACATTGTACCATAAGTCTTAGTCAGTATAATAAAACAAAAAAGAGAAATGAAAGGTACACATATTGCAAAAGAAGTAACAGTGTATTTCTATATGCTTGTAATGCGCAGCTCAGAAATTAAAAATTTTAAATACCCCAAAAATTAAAATATCATTTACAACAGCACTAAAAATATGAAATACTTAGGGATAAATATGACAAAAGATGTGTCAGACCTTTACACTGAAGGCTATGAAACATTGTTGAGAAATTTAAAGACCTAAACAAATGGAGAGAGATACTGTGTTCATGGACCAGAAGACAGTGTTGTTAATTCTCTCCAAACTGAGCAAGATTCATCAAAATCCCAGTGAAAATCTCATCTTTTTTTTTTTTTTTGGTTGTTAAAACTGGCAGATTCTAAAATTCACATGAAAATTCAAAGGACCCAAAAAACTTTGGAAAAGGAATGAAGTTGAAGGACTTACACTTCAAGAGTAATAAAAAGCTGCAGTAACCAAGAAAGTATGACACTAGCATCATGACAGACAAAAAGATAAATGGAACTCAATAGGTCCATAAGTAGTCCCACATAATATAGTCAATTGATTTTTGACAAAGCTGCAAAAGGCAACTCAGAGGAAAAAGGATAGTCTTTTGAATTAAATAGTGCTGGAATAATTGGATATCCATATGAACTTTGATCCATACCTGTACCATCTATAAAAATGGACTCAAAATAATCACAGGCCAAAATGTAAAGCCTAAAACTATAAAAATTCTAGAAGAAAACACAGGGGAAGATCTTTGCGACTTTGGATTAGGTGAAGTTTTTTTTTTTTTTTTTGATATAACTGCAAATGACACAATCCATAATAGAAAAAGTTGATACATTGGACTTAACAAAAATTAGTAATTTCCAAAAGGTGCTCGTAAAAGAATGAAAAACCAAAACATGGACTGGGAGAATATGTTTGTGAATCACCTATCTCAAAAAGGGCTTATATTATCCTGAATATGTAAAAGAAATCTTAAAACTCAGTAAGAAACCTAACCAATTAAAGTAGCAAAAGATTCAAACAGATAACCTCACCAAAGTCGATATACAGATGGCAAATAAAAGCAAGAGAAGATGCTCAACATTATTAACATTAAGTATATGCAAATTAAAATCATAATGAGATACCATGACACACTTAGAATGACTCAAACTAAGTATTAGTGAGGATGTGGAGTAACTGGAACTCTCATGACTGTCACATGATACAACTGCTTTGGAAAACAGTTTGGCAGTTTCTAAAAATATGAAACATACACTGAACTATTCTGCTCCTATGAATTATCCCAGAGAAATGAAAGCATATGTTCATTTCATTCTACACAAATGTTTATAAAAACTTTATTTATAATAGCCCCAAGTTAGAAACAACCCAAAGTTTCATCAACCAGCAAAAGGATAAAGTACGGTATAACCATACAATGGAGTACCTAACTCGGCAATTTTTAAAAAGAAATGAACTACTGATATAAATCAGAATCTCATTATGCTTAGTGAAAAGAGATAGACAAAAAAGAGTAAATACTGTACTGTATGATTCCGTTTATAAAACCTAGAAAATACAACCTAATCAATATTGACAGAAAGCAGATCAGTGGTTGCCTGGGGACTGGAGTAGCAGGAAGTGGGGTGGGTTGGGAAGGAGAGATTACAGAGGGGGCATGAAGATATGTTCATTATCTTGGTTGAAGTAGATGGTTTCACTGGTATGTACACATATCAAAATTTATTGAGTTGTACACTTTAAATATGTCCCCTATATTGTATGTCGATTTTATCTAAGTCAGTTTTTACAACTTATTAAGACAACTCAATAAATAAATGAGGATAAGATTTGAACAGACACTTCATAAAAGAAAAGCAAATAAAAAGATGTTCTACAACATTAATTATCACAGAAATGCAAATTAAAACTACAACCATTACACACCCACTCAAATGGCTATGATTTTTAAAAACTGACAATACCGAGTGCTATCAAGGATGTGGAAAAATGGAAAAATGGGACTCTTACACATTCCATCAGTGGAAATACAAAATGGTTTGCATTTGTGAACTCCCAAAATGCCACTCTGGGAAACGGCTTGGTAGTTTCTTTTAAATTTAAACACACACTTATCATAGGATCCAGAAATTGCACTCCTAGGTATTTACCTAAGAGGAAAGACAACAGTATGTATACACAAAAATCTGTAAGGGAATATTTTCAGCATCACTCCAAACTGGAAGCATTCCAAATGTCCTTCAACTGGTGAGCAAATAAACAAACGGGCACACCCACACAATGGAATACTACTCAGCAGTACAAAAGAACAAAGTACGAACACAGGTAACATGAATGAATCTCAACTGAAGTGAAAAAAGCCAAATGCAAAAAGCTACATACTGTATGATTTACTTTACAAGACATTCACAAGATAGCAAAAGCACTGGGAAGAAACCAGATAACTGCTAGGGGTGGGGGAAGAAGGGGTTGGTATGAAGGGGCATCATTTTTGGGGTGATGGAAATGTTCTAGATCTTGACTGAGGTGTTTACACACTGCAAAATTCAGAAAAAATACACTGAAAAAAGGTAAATTTTGCTGTATGTAAATTATACCTCACTTAGATGTAGATTAATTGTAGATGAATGAAAGTACACATTTCAAAAACGTGTGTGAAACACGCAGGTAAAGCAGGTCTGGTGCTGCAAGAATGAGCTTTAAATCCAACAAGGAAGACAAAGAAACGTCTCTCTCTCTCTCTCTCTCTCTTCCCCAGAGCAGAGGACGCCAAATGTTGAGAGTTAGGATTCAGAACACTAGGCTTCAAATGCTAGCTCTCATCTTTTTCCTGAGTTGTGCTCCCTGGTGCCCCACCTAATATTCTTTTTCGAATGGCAGCAGCTTTTAACCTTAGGCCATTTTCTCATCCGCTCTCATCCGGGTGTTTGGTGAACACCATGATAAAGAATTTAGTGCTTTCAAAGGTGACTTTCTTCCTTTTGAGTCACTTCTTTCCTCAAATGTCAAGATGTTCACAGCAAAGGGGTATATGAGGAATAGAAGACAGGGGATTCACGTGGCTGGAGGCAGCATGCCTTGAGTAGGCTGCAGAGCCAGGGGGCTGACTGGGGGCTCACACAGGCTCCCACGGCACTTTTTGCAGGCACAGGTGTGCAGGTCCTCAGCTTCTGGACAGGTTCCAATTTGAGTAATTATGTTCTCGTCCCCTAAGTAACCCCTACCGTTTCTGGTAGATACAGAATTCTTACTCACTTCCTGTACTAAACTGTGGTGTGGAGTTGCTGTGCAGCTGTTAAACAGCTGACATGTTCCTCTCCATATACAGTCTCTAACGCACTTTTGGATGAAAGGCGCTACATAAACATATTTTATTGTCATGTACTGGTTGCCTTTCCACTTAGTAGTAGGTTTTGTGAGTTTCTAACTATCAAATCCAGATCTGTGTTCCACAGTACATCAATGTTTAACTTCTTCTCCTTCCTGTCCCCCAACCCCCTCTAAACAACGAGGCTCTTACCACAAGGGTCCGTAGACAGAGAGTCCCTGCAGGAGCACGGGGGTCCAGAGCAGCTACAAGATCCCACACTTTAATTTTTCTAAAGATCAAAAAGGGGACAAAAATCTCAATTAAAAGCAAAATTAAGGGACCACAGGAAGAACAGCAAAAAGTCATGGCAATAAATATGTACAGTGAACGTGATTTATATGATAAATGCAGCTCACAGGAATATATAAAAACTTTTTTGTTTTGGAGACTTGGTTCTTGCATTCATTCTTGGGTAGAGGTTATTGGTCTTAACAGGGGAAAATGTACAGGTTTAGCCTAAAAAATGAGAAATAGGTTAGCTTTAACCAAGCTAAAGATAGTGAATGGTAAACTTACACCATACTTTGGGGCCAGGAAGAAATCTTATACATTAGACCTCTTAATGATATAAGAGGTCACTTAGACCGAAAAACCTGTAATTCTGAGGCATCTTCTTTCCGGTCAATTCTAAGAATGGCCCACGTAACATGTACCAGAGGACTGGAGCCCACTGAAGAACTATGTAGTTTATATAAGCAAATGCTCATATTTTGATTTAAATAAGAAAAGTTTAGCCCTTCTAAAAATCAAACATACGGTCATGTCTCCTCAAGGTAAATAACAGACAAAATCCAAGAAAGGTGGGAACAGATCAAAACCAGGGCAATCAGAAAATGTAACGTAGCTAGAATATGTCCTCACACCCTGAACAATTTCCAAAGGGTAGAACAGTGATGGCTGACTCAAAGCAGAGGGAGTGGTCTATTCCTGCTGCGCGAGTTGTCTTCAACACTATGGCTAGCTCCAAATCTAAGATAATGTTGTAAGGTAGTTTCTGATATTTAAAAAGCTGTCAGTATGTGAACTACAGCCTTCCACCCCCCACGTCAGGCACCCTGACAAGACGAAATGATAAAGAGGCCTTCATAAATGAATAATACACTTTTGTACGAGTTTACTATGTATTTAGCAGTGCTAGACATGGGATCCATTCACAACATGAATGGATTCTAAAACCACTGGAAATTAGACCAAAGAAAATAAAGATTATTAAACTTCTTGTCACCGAAATGCTAGGAGAAGTGAAGACAAGAGTGCTACACTTTTAGGAATTACTCAAAGAGATCCATATTCAAGAGCCTGCCACACTATGCCCCAAAGATACTGCCTCCAATATTTGTTTTATTAGTAAGTCATTATTTTACACACATATCCTGGTATACTGGGTTTTCCCAGTTCTCTGCTTTATAGGGTAAAACAGACAAGTATATAACCAAATAACTAAAATGTTAATGAAAGTCATGAGCAAATAAATGATCAGGAAGAACATTTTAAGAAAAGTAAACAAAGGAGAGGTGAACACATAGACTAGACACAAAAAATATTGTATCAGATCCTTTCTGTGAAATCCATAATCTTTCAGAGTCAGGGAAATACTATATATTTAATCAACCTCAGTGAGGAGGAATCAAGATGTACATTTTTTTTTAAAACCCTGTTAGCAAACTCACCCATCGTAGGCCCCACTGACTATCCTCTTGTTATCGAATCGAATACAGCGCACCAGCTCCTCGTGACCTTCTAAGACTCGTAAACACGCACCACATTCTATGTCCCATAATCTGGAAAAGAAAATTGAGTCAAGTGAATTTTCATGTATTCTTTTCTAAGCTTGGCATGTTATAATAATATACTTTGTATGTCTTCAAAAAACCCACAAAAATAGAATCAATCAACATACATACAAAAATGTGATTGATCTCCTTTCTGTTGTATAATTCAGGCAGACAAATGTATGACTGAAGTTCATATGAAGTATATATTTTCAAAGCACAAGGCTTTATATAATCCTGTAACCAGGGTCTCCAAGGTGTAAGAAGGATGAATTCAATGTACCCAGTTGCCTGTGAAGGAAATGACCAAGCCAAGAAAACTAATGCTTCCTGAAATCACCAATAAGAACGAGATGCAGAGTGCTGGTGATATCCTGCCTCACAAAGCATGTGCACCTCTGTTACTAAGGACACTCTCTGTTTTCACCCACTGTCCAGGACAGTCTTTCTCTATAATGGAAACAAAAAGCAAGTTCTCAAAAACATTTATATACTAACATAAAAAAACTGGGGGCGCCTGGCTGGCTCAGTCAGAAGAGCATGAGACTCTTGATCTCAGGGTTGTGAGTTTGTGAGCCCCATGATGGACACAGAAATTACTTAAAAAAATAAAATCTTAAAACTGCATGCTTTCAGGGGCACCTGGGTGGCTCAGTCATTAAGCGTCTGCCTTCAGCTCAGGTCATGATCCCAGGGTCCTGGGATCGAGCCCCGCATCAGGCTCCCTGCTCTGTGGGAAGCCTACTTCTCCCTCTCTCACTCCCCGTGCTTGTGTTCCCTCTCTTGCTATATCTCTCTCTATCAAATAAATAAATAAAATCTTTAAAAAAAAAACAAAAACTGCATGCTTTCGGGCCAATCCAAATGAAATGACAATTTCCTTAGATATAACAATAGTTCTGTTGTTTTTTTAAATGGCCTTTTCACCCTCTTAGTACTTTTTGAAGGAAGGGAGAGGATTGACAGATCTCCCAAATTCTATTCATATCTCTGTCATTCATCTTTGTGAAGGGAAACACCAAGAAGTAATTCGATCTATGGATTCTTCATAATTTCAAAGACTGGTAACTCCCTGGATAAGTACATAATGCGAAGAAAACAAAAGTGCACAATTTCTAGTAGGGAAACAAATCTTTTTTCTTTTTTTCTTCTTCTTCTTTTTATTTTTAAGAACACTGGTGGAGAGAAAAGGCAGTTGGCTATTTATTAGCACTTTTCAACTGTACACAGGAGGAATTTAAAGAGGAGGGCCTTCAACCTCCATCTACTTATCACTCTTGTCCACTTCTTCATTCAAGCAGTACCTTTAAAACAGGTCTATCTGGTAATAAAACTATTATAGGAAGGAAACACATCAACAAAAGGCTTTGCTGTGCTTTCTTTCTGCTTGGGGCAAACTTTTTTTTTTTTTTGGCAAACTTTTGACCTATAAAAAGCTACAGAAAGGAAAAACATTTGGGGCGCCTGGCTGGCTCAGTTGGAGGAGCGTGTGACTTTTTTTTTTTTTTTAAGAATTTTTATTTATTTATTTGACAGAGAGAGACACAGCAAGAGAGGGAACACAAGCAGGGGGAGTGGGAGAGGGAGAAGCAGGCTTCCCGCGGAGCAGGGAGCCCGATGCGGGGCTTGATCCCAGGACCCTGGGATCATGACCTGAGTCAAAGGCAGATGCTTAACGACTGAGCCACCCAGGCACCCCAGGAGCGTGTGACTCTTGATCTTGGGGTTGTAAGTTGGAGCCCCATGTTGGGGGTAGAGATTACTTAAAAATAAAAATCTAAAAAAAAAAAAAAAAGAAAAAGAAAAGAAAAACATTTTATTATAAATATAATACACTCGAAGGTAACACACCCAGACTTCTGTGCGCTAACAATGAATGGCAGGGTAGCAGTGATCCCTTCTGGGTAAGAGCACCTGCTGCTCACCTGATAGTGTTGTCAGATGAGCCACTCACGACCAGCCTGTCTCTGTACTGCAAACAGGCAATGCCGCGTTTGTGTCCATTTAAGGTCCTTACAAATTCACAAGTACTTGTGTTCCATACCTGAAAAGGAAATAGTATTTGGCAGTTGATCTGGTGTTTTTACTAGTAAGATCTATGGCATTTGGAGTCTTGGGCAAGCAGAAAATAGCACCGAGCCAACAGGGGGAAGTCAACTTCTCAAACCACACCAAAAAGAGAGAGGGGGAAAAAAGGGACAAGTTTAATTCACAATAACAAAGGGCTATTTTATAGCTGGCTGCTATCACATGAGAATTCCTCAAATTGATTTACTCTTATGTGGTTAGTCTGGTTTGCAGACAAATTTTCTTGAAGCTAAATTTACCCCTGCCCTTCTCACACTCACCATTATTTACAGGAATAAGATACCTAAGATTTTCACACGGCTTATCTCACTCGTTGCCTTTTTACACATAGACTAGTATCTGAATTAAATATTAAATTACTCTACACTGACGTTTAAATATGAAATTTCCTTTGATCAGATTTTCACATGAACTCCCTTACTCTATGTTGGGGACTTACTGAAAAATGCCTCATTACCTTTATAGTCCTATCTCCAGATGCAGAAACGATGTACTTGTCATCAAAGTCTACAACATTGACAGCAGCTCGATGTCCGACTAGCACCCTCCGGAGGGTGATGTCAGTTGGGGAGGCCATATCCCATACAGCAATGGAACGGTCTTTGGAGCACGTCACCATCATGCCATTATTGAAACGCAAGTGCAGAACTGCTTCACAATGGTGAATCAACGTGTTTAGCATTTCACCTGTATTTGCATCCCACACCCTGGAACAAACAACATTAAAAAGGTTATCTGAGGTTTTGAGGGTGCTCCTGGCTATAATCCTATTTGACCACCACATTCCCCATCCATCCCGCCCCATTTTCATAATTAGTATTACACTCTACTCTCTAGCAGCTTTGAGGCTGAGGTGAGGTGAAGAGTTCTGATGGACCATGGGGAAGTGATAGAGAGAGGGCCGGAGAAGGAAGGGATAGGATGCTGCCAATGTGAAACCCTTAAGACACACTACTTGAAATCTGGGTGAGTTATGGGGAGTAGGAATGAAGATGCAACCACCATCACCTACTAACTGGGCCCAGACTTCAAGATTATTATAAAACTTCTGACATTCAATCTGATATCTTTAATGAGATACATTTTAAAGTAGGAATCTGATCAGTAACAGTAGCATTAGTGTCCCACGAGTAGCCCTCAGGAAGCAGAACTGACACAGGCCAAGAAGCTTCTGTAACAAACTGACTTAGTACTATGGATTTGAGCCTAATAACCCTGGATCTTCGATTTCACCATACCGGCCAGGTGCAAGATGAACTATACTCTAAGTCTGAGGCCCTATTTCTGTGCTTTGAACAGGGGGTAGAGATCAAGAACAGCCATCCCATTGTAAATGGGGACTTAAAACAGCAGGGTGTGGGACGTTTGGAGAGCTTGAGAATTTTGTGTGATGATATATTTAACTTTGATTACTCTATTTTTGTATATTTACTTTGATTTTCATAACACATTTTATTTCCTTTTCCAATTTAACCCCATCTTTTAGAAAATCATTTTGTCCCTTATCCTATAAATGATGTTAATCTCTACAAAGTTTTAGCTTCCTGGAGGCACTCCACAGCATCAATAAATGTTAGATGTCGATAACTGTAAGAACTGAGTATGCTATTCCTTTAAGTCAAAAGATAAGAAACAGGAACAGCCTTTTCTATTCACAGAGGATAATTTCGAATGGTAAACATTTAACTTCGGAGAATCTAACAATGCAGTTAACTGCCTTTTTTTGTAAAGTTATTTTTGATGCATTATGTATGTTTGCTAAATCCTTTAGCTTAAGGCAAAACTCCTAAGAGAGGTTTCCAGCAGTGCTGCTGGTACCCAGAACTCAAGCTACACTGGACTCCAGCAGCATAATGGCTGTGTCATCAAATCACGAACGCCTCTGGAAACTGAAGGCCCCTCCCTGAGTAAAGCTTGCAATTAAAAACTGCAGGGACAGCAGGGGAGGGCCTGGCAAAGAGACAGCATTGCTCACCTGTACACATTTTATTTATTTTTTATTTTTATTTTTTTACCTGTACACATTTTAAAGGAGATAATGCATGTCTATACCGCAGTTATAACCACCTGAAAGGAGGCTTTATTCCATTCACATCATTCCTCTGTGAGCTGGTTTTTGTAAAGAATGCAAGGTTTATCAAGTTTCTATAATGGATGATTCCCCCAAATTAAAGTAGAATATGTAGTTTCTTCAGTGTGCAAAAATGTAAACTTGCCTTAATCATTCCTAAATCAAGGTTTCTAGGTGGACACAATGATGTGGAGAGCTGATGGTTTATTCTTCTTTAGTTATGAAGTTTCGGAACTGTGTTCATGCAGTTATATACAAAATTACTATCTATGACTCAGAACAGAGCAGATCTGATTTTCCAGATTTCGAAAGATCATTTGAAATTTTCTACCTGACCGTGGAATCCGATGATCCAGTTATGATCACCCTCTCATCATACTGGAGACACAGGACAGAACCCGTGTGGCCTGTGAGAATTCGCTTGCATTCCAACGTGCTTTTATCCCAGATCTAGGATGGCAAACAAGATCCTTTTGATCAATGTGATAACGGGGTGCTGCTGAGACTTGTTGGCTCTATTATGTGTTTGATTCTCCAAAAGAATCAAAGCCCAGAGCAATGTGGAATGCATTCTTTTCTACAGATATAGCTAAGCACTATATATTATGCGGCTCCAATACTAATGCAGACTTTATCCTTTTCATTAAGGAACAGGGGTAGCCCTATAATTATGTGAGGCCCAAAGGAGCAACAGCACATTCAGTGTACTTTAAACAGAGTTTAACCCTAGGACTATCCATCTGTACATGCTTCTGGCGGGAAGCAGGTAACTGTCCTTTAAGGAAATGATTCTGGCTTTGGGACTGGAAACAACCTTAAAACTCTCATTTACTTTCTGGAAATAATGCTTAGAGATGATGTCTGGACTGCCTTATTAATGTGGACACCCTTGTTCTTTCAGCTACCTTCCCATAACTAAACAGACCTCACCTTGATTGTGTTGTCTCGAAGGCCGCTTACTATCTTTTGATCATCATACTGTAAACAGTAAACTCCTTTGCTTGTTTCACTTCGACAGTGGATTCTCTGTAAACTATGTCTTCCACATCTCCAATTAGATTCTATTGTCTGAGGAGAAGGAACGGTAAAGAGGAAGTAATTAGGAAAGGACCAGAACTAAATTCTTATCTTTCATGGCAACCAATGACAAATGCTCAATGCTTCACTCTATTCAATACATAGACCTTAAGGCAAACTAAAAATGTTTTTAAAAAGCCACTGTTTAAAATTGTGTAACATTTTCCCATTTGCAAAGTTATTAAAGATTTATTTTCTAGAGCTCTCCTGCATATAACTCAATTAAATGATAAACTGGTGGAAAGAGGGCAACAGAGGACAAGCTATGAACTACAGAAGGTTATGTGCTCGGTGCTCCTCATACATATGTGGTAGCCATTTCTAGTAGTGAACTTCCAGGAAGGCTCAATTCAGAAGATATCTGAATATCACATTATAAGTACAACTTCAACAGTCTCACTGCTATTGCATGGAGATATCATCTTCTCTCTCTCATTTGCCTACCAGTAAACAATCTTTAAAAGCTTTAAAATTTTTTGCCTGGCAATTCACTGTATTTTACCTACCCTATTTACTTAAAAGAAATTTATTTTTAACCCACATTAATAAACCTTAATGGGTTTGCTGTAACAATGCTGTAACTGAGACTTGTTGGCTCTATTATGTGTTTGATTCTGATGATTGCTGATGAATGCTGATGATTCTCTAGTATTTGGCAAATACTCAAATATACATAGATTCTTACCTCAATGTCTTGTATAATTTTAGGATAAAGTGCTCTATAGAAAGAGTTGGGAGGAGCATTCCCATCAGGAGGTTTGTTTTTGAATAAATACTGTCCCCTAAAAAACAACAAATATTTCCCAATAAAAATCACAGTATTATACATTTACAGGGAGCTTCATAGTACTTCAAAGTGTTTTCACAGTTACCATTCCATATAGTATCTATAACTAGCCTGGAAAGGTATGAAGCTAAGCCTGATTTCAGGAGTCCCATGTCAACAAATCACTTTCTGGGTTCTAAGGAACTAGGTCAACACTGATTGTCAACACGATGATTTGCAATGTAGCCATCAGAGTATAATGGTATAAGGTCAACAAACAGAATACATATAATCAGAATTTATCAACTGGTCTTTCAAACCTCTATAACACATAGATTCATTGGTCTTATCTTTTGAAAATTTTGTTGGTGATGGTAACTACTATCTCTGAACTGGGCACATGCCCCACAGTTTTTGTTTTTTTTTTTTCCCACTGAGTAAAGCTGTGCCAGCGTCAGCGTAGCCTAGCATTGTGGGCAGTGAGAATGCCTCTGTCATGGAGACCGTTTTTTCTAGACTTCCCTTACATGGGGTAAGGTATGGTGGCAGCTCAGGCACCCAGGCTGCTCGTGATCGGTATAGCTATGCTGTAAAAGGAGCAATTCAGTTCATTTCGACAGAAGACAAAGGGAACACAGGAGTGTCCAGCGGCGGGTACAGAAGAAGACAAAGACACCTAAGAGCACTGTGCTATCAGGTCTAAAGTGTGACACTCTTTCACAGGTGTGTCCCTGGCTGTGCACATACATACATGCATTTATTGCCTCTCCTTGATTCCAGTGGGCAACATTTGTTAGTATCTCCTTCCTTATGACAGCACATCTCTGGAATACTCATATCCCAAGCTAGATCTTTGCTACAAAAAAAAAATCAGTAAATGGCAATCACTTCCTGCTGGGTAAAAAATTTAATTCCTCATCCTGAAGTTAAGAACCCACCAAACACGGTGTGGAAGCTAGTAAACCCCACTATGGGTGTACTAACTGCTGTTCTCACTGGCACTGTGCCTTGCAAAGTGGAGATAGGCAGAAATGCCTCTGAGTGTAATCCTGGCACCAGAGAAATCATGTTTTCTCTGGGCCAGTCATCCACTCCTCCCTCTATAGCTCCATTACAATATAATTAATTGTTCAGTGTCTCCAGGAGCGCTTCTCCCCTGCCCTCTTCCTATTATACACCTTCAAAATTAGTTGAGGAAATTTCCTATCAGGAAGGTAACTGGCTTTCACTTCTGTGTTAATACAGGAAGGGAAATCTACAATGGAGAAGCTAAAATAATAGTTTTTAAAAGGGGGCTAATCGGAGCAAGAAACATGATACACCAACATAAAGGGCAAACAAGACACATTTTGAAATAATTCTAGGTTACAAGTACACTTCCCTGAACAATCTTATTCTATAAACACACTGCAAGCAAACAAGAGATTTGGGATGAAGAAATTTTAAGTCTGGTTAATAATTATAACTTCATAATTTCAATTCCAACATCCTTTCATGAGGTGAGAATCACTTACATTTATTTTGCAGATAAAGAAATCAAATGTCAGGGAGATTATTAGGTAATCTGTTCAAGGTCACATAGCCAGCGAGAGACTGGAATTTGAATCTAGGTCTGACTTTAGAGCCTACACTCTTAACTACTTTACTGTCTCCAGGGGCCACCATCCTTCATAGATTCCTGTCCCCCTTTTAATCTCTGGCAATTGAATACAGGCATCCCAGGATTTTCTTCATACATAACGAAACTATCTCTACATCCCAAGAAAAAACTCTGATCTCATTTTTTACCTCAATGTATTTTTCATGCCTTGTTAGATTATCTAAATTTCTTTCAAGTTAAAGGTGCTACAAAAAAAAGGTGGCAAGGTGTGGAAAACTGGTTTTTCAGTCTAGATCTGTGTTGTAAGTCAAAACCTTTTATGATGGAAGCTCTCCGACAACAGGGACCACTTCTATGTGAAATGCCTAGTACCTTTGAGAATGTGAATACATGATAAATGCTAAATATTAAATTTAGAATGTTACCATAAAATGTGATCTGCTGATTAAGAAAATGGACTTCCCCAAGTGATCTTTTATTTTACTTTTAAGAGTTACCATTACTGAGCAGAGAGAGTACATTCAATGTTATTCAAGACAGAAAATGACAGAGTTCATGTCATGAACTGTCAAATTCATCTAGATACAAAATACAACAGTGGAGTAGAAGTTAAACCCAAAGCTTCATTAGACAACTAGATTTACTTATTTATTTTTGGTTGGAGGAAATGGAAAAAACTTTCAAAGCCAGCATTTGGGGCAAGGTATAACAGAAAGACTTTATTGACACAGTAGGCTTAGTAAAACAATCTGAAAGAAGATGAGAACGTGATCATAGATTAAATTTTTTAAAAAGTGGGGGAGGACACTAACACAAGAAGAAAGGCAACATTTAAAAATAGAAGCAGCCAGAGAAAGTCAAGGGGATATTAGAGGAGGTCTTCATGGGGTGGACAAATACTTGTAATTTCACGGGGCTCTATCAAGCTAAGATGACAAATGTGGCCAAAGACAAAGAGGAATATGGTCCAAACTCCGAAGGATACTCAAAAGAACAGGAATGGGTTCCTGTGGTTGAACAGATAGCAGAAAGAGTGATAATTAATACTGGATCCTAGATTATTTCTCAGCCATCCCTTCACATACCCCTTTAAAAGGCCAAAAGGCCATCTTTTCAATCATCTTGTTTGTTTTCTCTCTTTGTAACTAACATAACAGATCTTGCTATTTACTGCCACCCCCAAGCAAAACTGTGGAGCCTACGCTTATCTTTGGCATTTTCACATGCATCTGCCTTCAAAAAAAGAAATCAGTAAACTCCCAATGTCTGATAAAGGTTTACTGTTATTTACAGTCCAAATAGGAGCAAAGTGTATTTTAACAGGGAAGAAAACCTTTATCACTATGGGAGTGAATAATCTCTGTGATAGAGATTTCAGGCCAGGAGTTCCAATTTGGAGGAGAGTCTCTTTTCTTTTCTTTTTTTCCCATGAGGGGTAGTGGAATATTCCTAGCTATCCTAAAATTTTCCCATGTCATCAACTGCTCTATATCTAAGGCTGGTCCTGACATGCTTAGCAAAATGATGGACTTTGAATCCCATACAACTATATACTTTTTTGCTTTTTTATACCTTTAAAAGAGTTTATTTCCAAAGTATGAAGTAAGTTATGAAAAGGCTTTACAGATTTTTCTATATAGTGAAGTGAGAATAAGAAAAACATATTTGGGAAGAGTAACACTATGCTTTCATTTATTCATTTTTATATAGCCAAAGGATTGCCTGATATTTGCTTCCTTTAACTGAATGAGAGAAATTTTAAAGTCTTCCTAATAGCCACAATGACAAAAATTTCTTAAAGCCTTTGGTATAATACTTAGAGGTCATTATGTTTATTATATATTAATGAATTTCAAAGATGCAATAACAACAAAAAAGAAGCCAACTATATTTTAAGGAAAATTGCTAAGAAAAGCTGATCCTCTTTTCTTAACTGTTTTGTATCTCTTTATGGTCCAAGATAAATAATTGATAAAATTAATTGCCTAGGATATCCCTGAGCACACATATGCCTACTGGTGCATATCTATCAGCTAAAATACTTAATATGTCACCTTTATTTTACTTATGAAATATTCACACCTGACTTTCCTAGTGACATTTTAGAGACATCCCCTGAAAGTACATATAGAAGCCATCTTCCACAAGTTTGAATGAAACGGTACCTTTATGTTAAAAGAACAACAAAACTGGTTAAGTCTCTTAGGCTGCTAACTATATAATGCCTTTAGGAATTTGGGAATAAGCAGTACAATCTTGAGAAAATATGGGGCTTATGAAGAAAACAGTGATATAAACTAGGATCCCACATTTCACTCTTTCTGATGGCTAGAGTTCTTATTCTAGTTGAGTGTAAAAATAATTTTGATTACAAAGGTGAGAAAACACCACAGGCATGGATTAAAGACAAGAAATCTTCTGAAGGAGAAAATACTTATTTGTTCAGGATCGTTTCAGGCATCTGATGGCTTCTGTGTGATTTAAAGTCATCTGTCTTACAAACTGCCTATCAAACCTTTGTCAGGACACTAGTTTCTGCCCAGAGAACAGGATGCTCTAAACGGAAGTCAGTTTTTAATAATTTTTGCAAAGCAGTATTAACACATTATTATGTCATTTATCAGCGATTGTTCAGAAGAAAAACAGCTAAGTACATGTACAAACTATTTCACATTTTGTGCTATAAACCAGCTGAATCATTATATTAAATGATAAGCAGTCTCACTGGTTCCCAGTGTTATTCCAATGATTCTGAATGGTCAGGTCCTGAAGCTCATCTATAATAGCAAGAAAGTTAAAAGGCTCACCACCCTCTTCGTTCTGCCAGGCCTCTCCACAGAGAATCTGTCCTGACCATTCTCTCAATGAGCTTCTTCCATAACATGCCATCAGATGTCACTCGGTACCATTCCTTACATACAAGTTCAGCAGCACATAGTGATTTGGCATCCAGGTATGACAGAATGTTCTCAGCAATGTGATCCAAACCCCGAGCTGTTGGGGCGGGGGGTGGAGGCCAAGAAGAAGAATATAGGTGGTGAATGATTTTTCACAAAAGGTCCTTGAAAACAGAACAGCATTTATTCTGCTCTGAAGGCACATCATTGTCCCTAGTGTGGTCCGGTTTCTTTTTCAAACAGAAACTTGGGTAAAATGAGTGTCAATAATTTTTCCATAAGGTTACAGAAATGAACAGTATTTTCCATCTTCCTTTAGATAAGGAAGTTAAAGCTAACAACCAGCAAACCCCCCAAGACATTAAAAATAAAAAGGATTCCAGAAAACAATTCACATCTATCTATATGGATTTCAGCACTAGGGGATGTTCTATGGATGGCATCTCAAAGTCTGTGATTCAGACCCCCCCAAATCTCTATATTAGGTCCATTTCTCATTCTGTTTCTATTACTGCTGCAGTTCCAAAGCTGTTCAGTAAAAGAAATATCCTTTAAATGTACTGGAGGAGAGGCACTAAGTCAGAATGTGCTGGGTTATAGAATTTTGGGCATGCAGAAAGGAAAGAAGAAGGAAATACAGATTGGTATAAGAATAATATCCTGAGAGGAAAGACAGAGAGGTATGTTTAAGTTCAAGAATAAGTTTAATTTCAGATGTTTAAAAAAACTATATTTGACAGTAGTTGCTGCTATAAAACCTAAATGACAGTTGACCAAAAAAACAAAAAACAAAACAAAACTCCAGACCAATAAATAACTTGGTTAGCATTTCAGAGACCATCTTGTAGGATGTATAGAGGAAAACAGTGAAAGTAGATCTTGGGCTGCCTAAACTGGATGCCCTTCCCAATTAATTGGGTGGATACCACCCAAATCTGTACTGAGGCCTCAGAGGACTAGATCCTATAAAATAGGATGATCATACTAATAAAGCTTTTGGCTGCTGTTCTAATTCACAAGTGAGACAAACACATTCAAAGTTATTTCTCTTTCAGGTTACGTATCAGAGGTTTGCTAAAGACTTAAATAGTGCAGAAGGATTCCTTCATACTCCGACTCCCTGAGGCACAAACTTAACAAATAGGAAAGAGAATACCACATTTCATTTTGTGCCTTTCCCTTGAATCACACAAAGACACACTTGGATGCCATTAGCAACAATCCAAATGTGCTTAAACATTATTCTAATTATAAAGTTGTATGGATAGCAGTCACATTTTTCAGCAGATTTGGAAAAGAAAGCATTAAATGGATTTTGTTTGGCTGGCATCACATGTTCATATTTAAGCATAAGCAGATGGAGGCATCCATCACCTAATTCTTATTAAAGGAAAATGACTATAAGCCAATTAAAGATATAATAACTAGTTCTTCATGCAAAAAACAGTGATGGTACAATTCCTGCATGTTTAAATTGAAACTTTCTACACCATCAGAAGTTTCCAAAATCCATTCCTGTGTTTTTAATGGCTATCATCAAATTGTTCCTGATCTTTCACTGTCCCTACAGTAAGTCTTTGGAAGTAATTTCACCTAACACTCCAAACAAACCCATTACATTAATGGATTATAGGCATTTTTGGACGTAGTTTGGTTTACTAAATGTAGCCAGACGGTGTAGGTTTATAAGTTAAAATGGCCATAAAACATTAGACTGATGCTTTAGTATCTTATAAAGTGGTCAGCAGATACACACCAGGGATCAGGATTAGGCAAAGGATACACAGGTCTAATCAACTCCTGTTCAATTCTTAGTGGTGGTATATGCTTGAGATAGTAGCATGTCTCAGAAATTGGGGAGAGCACAGTAATGAGGTACACACAGATTGTTCACACAATGAAAACTGTTTGCCTATGGCTAAAACAAAATCCAATGAGTGAAGAAGGGGCAGAAGTCTATTCTATTTAACAAAAAATAGGGGCGCCTGGGTGGCTCAGTCGGTTAAGCATCTGCCTTTGGCTCAGGTCATGGTCCCAGGGTCCTGGGATTGAGCCCCGCATCGGGCTCCCTGCTCAGCGGGAAGCCTGCTTCTCCCTCTCCCACTCCCCCTACTTGTGTTCCCTCTCTCGCTGTGTCTCTCTGTCAATAAATAAAATCTTAAAAAAAAAATAGGTAAAAATTTAGCTTTAAAATGGTTATTTCTAAGCTATAAATAGGTATTTCTTTTGTTTTAAAGGGTGATTTAAATTCTAATTTTGGAAAAACAAATTTAAAAAAGATAACTGGCAAAGATTAAGCAAAGTAGTAATACACAGTTTTGCAGAGGGCTGGTATATTTTTTCATAGAGGACAGTTTGGCACAAGTATTAAAAACCTTGAAACTCTTCATAATTCTTTAATATACGAATCCCACTTCTGTTATTTTTTCCTAGGGTACCCAAAAGATCAGTGAGTAAGAATGTCCACCACAGCAAAGTTTATAGTAAGAAAAATACTTTAAACTACCTAAATGTTCAAAAAAGGGGTTAAATATATGAGCTTTGGCCATCAGAAAGAATATATAATACTATAAATAATTATGTTTTAAAAGAACACTTAGGAAAATACATTAAGAGAACATAGTAAAAAAAATGCTACAAACACTTATGATCCCAGCTTTAGAAGGAAATATATACAACTAGAAAAAATAGTAAGGCCAAAATACTAATAGCACATTAGCAGCTATCTCTGAATGGTGGGGTTCTGGGAAATTTCATTTTTATATTTTAAACTGTTTTGAATTCCCTAAATTTCCTATAACTTCTATAATCAGGAAACTGAAAAAAAAAAACCAAGATATGATATTTTATAGATTCACTCATCTTTTGTACTCTATTTTCTCCTTTTTTTGAGAAACAGAATGCTAGCAAGCCAGTGTTGGGGAGGGACAGGGGGAGAGAGAGAGAGAACTGAGCCCAAGGCAGGGCTTGATCTCCGGACCCTGAGATCATGACCTGAGCCGAAATCAAGAATCGGACGCTTAACCTGACTGAGCCACCCAGGCACCCCTGCACTGTATTTCCTTCTAAAATAAACTTTTAACAAAGAGGACAACCTTATGTTTTCTTGAGATAGCATTTGCCCCAAATACTGATGTCTACAATAGTGTCCTAGGATCACCACTGAGCATTCAGTAAAACCACATTATCCTCCCCCGACCCACAAAAGTATTTTAAGTGTGTGTGCACATGTGTATTTATTTATTTTTATTTATTTTATTATGTTATGTTAGTCACCATACATCATTAGTTTTGATGTAGTGATCCACGCTTCATTGTTTTCGTACAACACCCAGTGCTCCATGCAGTATGTGCCCTCCTTAATACCCATCTCCAGGCTCACCCATTCTGCGCATGTGTGTATTTAAACATATATATAGTTTACGAGAGCTATTTGGTTACTGAGAACAGTGAGACTGCAAAGCCAGGAGTTTACATATTTAATGTCATAAGACTCCTGAGATATTTTTCTTTCTAAAATACTCAATTAAAAATGTTTCCTATTCAGTCCTATAATTTAAATATTCTGTTGATAAATTCCCATAGAAATCTAAATCCAGGGCGCCTGGGTGGCTCAGTTGGTTAAGCGACTGCCTTCAGCTCAGGTCATGATCCTGGCGTCCTGGGATCGAGTCCCGCATAGGGCTCCCTGTTCGGCGGGGAGTCTGCTTCTCCCTCTTACCCTCCCCCCTCTCATGCGCTCTCTCTCAAATAAATTCTTAAAAAAAAAAGAAATCAAATCCAAGTATATAAGTTAGCATATCTTAAAAACTCAGACACATTATTGAGTAACACTTCAGAACATATTTTATTTGCATCTCTGAATGGGTTAAGAACAGGATGACTAGAAGGGCATGAGATATGGAGAAGACAGGGGCAAGAGGAGTCTCTATTTCCAGAGTGTGACTTGGGGTATTTATACCTCAAGAAGGTACGATTAAAGGACTCAGTTTATAAAAATCAAGCCAATAAAGACTTTCAACAAGAGAGAGGAGGATCCAGTTCCATTACCATTGTAACATGTTTTCCAGGCAAATTAATGGCCCACAAATACCCGTAGACATACCTGGCAGAGCAGTTATGAAATCCCTCTGCAACATAGGTTTAAGATACGAGTTTATGTGCCCATGTTGGTAATGACACATTTGGGATATAAGATGTTCCACAAATTCCACTTGATCGGACTCTGACCACTGCTCAAAATACTTGACACACAGTTCCTTTTCCTTCTCATAGCTTGCTGAGAGTTTTCGTTGCTTGGGCACAATCATACTGGAAGTGCCATTGGCAAGTTTTGTCTGTAGAAGGAGTGGATTAAAAGAAACAAAAAACAGTAAGTATCGAAAATGAGGGAAATAAATACTTTTCTGATCTGGCATGCTATGTTACGTCTATATGTTGGAGCTCACTCTGTTACTTATTAGTAATTGGATATTTGTGAATAGCAATTACATGGAAAGCCATACAAAGACCACAGTAAATTGGTAAATCAGGAATCATGCTGGACAACTAGGCATCCCCATTCCTAAAAGTTCACAGGAAGATATTATTTGGCGATCTATACATGAAAACTGAAAGCTGAAAGCATGTTAAGTTATTATTACTGGCAAGTGAAAAAGCTAATTTGCTTTTTCTTGTATACACCAGTTACTGGACATTTATACAATTACTTGCTCACTACTTATTTTTTAATATAAGAAACTTCCACGCAAAGAAAGGCTGATGAATAATTTGAGACTCTAGTACCTTTGGAGATAAAGCTTTACTGTAACATTTATATGCTCAATCTACCCTTTTCCTTCTAAAAAAGAAATCAAAATTACATGCCATAAAATCTTTTTATTAATTAGTTCATTCAGTAAATATCAATTAAACACCTACAATGTGTCAAACACTGTCCTAGGTGCTAGGAATACAACACTGGACAAAAGTAACAGTCTCTATCATCAGGCACTTCTACTGTAGTGTGTACAGCAAGATCAAACCATTAAACAAATAGATGGAAAATATAATGTGGATAGTGCTATTAAGAAAAATAAGGAGACAGAAAAAATGTACGGCCCAAAATTCTTGGCTCCTGGTATACACATATCTTCTCTCAGCTGTTCAAACAAACACATAGGTACTGCTTTGATTTAATTAATGTGCCAAATCAGCTGACCTTAAGATAGGGAGATTACTGTGATGAGCTCTTTAAAAGCAGAGAGTTTGCTCCAATTGGTTGCTGGAGAAGAAGGGGGACCCACATGGAAAAGGATGTGGTCAGACTCTGGGAGCTGCCAGAGCTGCCAGATGACAGCCAGTAAGGAAATGGGGACCTCAATCCTACAAAGGCAAGGAACTAAATTCTGGCAACAAGGATCTGAGAAGAGGATTTTCCCTCAGAGCCTCCAGATGTGAACCCAGCCTGGTCAGCATCTTCATTTCAGCCTTGTGATACTAGGAGCAGAGGACCCCCAGCCACGCCGTGCCAGAATTCTGACCTAGAAAACTGTGAGCTGATGAATGGGTGCTATTTTAACCTGGTAATTTGTTATGAAGCAATTAAAAAAACACCAAAAAAACTAATATAATTATTTAAGTCTGAGGGGTCAGAGATAGTTTCTCTAAAGAGATGACATTTAAACTGAGACATGAATGAAATGAGGGAACTAGACATTTTGTTACATGGGGGGAAGAAAGATCTAGGGCAAGGGGAATTTGAGGGCAAAGGTCCTGGGTGGCAGTCTGTCTGGCATTTTCAAGGAACATGCAAGAGGCCCAGGGTGGTTTGAAACAAGTGAACAAGGAGAAGTAAAGCTGGAGTAGTCCAAGCCAGATCATCCAGGTCATTTAGGTGGTGGTAGCTAATCTCCAATGATGGCTTGAAACAATTCCATCCCTCCCTGAACATGAATGCCGTTCCTCCCATGAAAAGGTAGAGTTTATCTTAGCTTTTGAATCTGGGCATTGGCTAACAGAATGTGGAGAAAGTGACATTCTAGGACTCCTGAGCCCAGGCAGCTTCTGCTTACTTCTTCTAAGAGCCCTGAGCCACCATGTAAGAGATTCAGGCTACCCTGCTGGAGAGGGAAGTTGGGAAGATGCGAAGCTATGCAGAGAGAGGGGTCACATGGAGAATCACCTAGAAGCCTGAGAGTAACATGATCTGACACCTTCTAAAAGGATCACTACTGTGTGGAGAACAGACTGTAGGGGACATGAATGGAAATAAGGAGACTAATTAAGAGACTACTTCACAGTAGTCCATGGAAGAGAACAGTCTTTTGGACTTGAGTGGTTACTATAGAGGTGGTAAGAAATAACTGGGACTCAATATATATTCTGAAGGCAGAGCAAACTGAATTTGCTGACAGATTGGATATGGGGTATGAGAAAAAAAAGAAGAAGACAAGGATCATATGCAAGTTTGAAGGTGGGGACACTAGGAAAAGATCCAGAAATCAACTGAAACTTTTTTTTTTAAAGATTTTATTTATTTATTTGAGAGAGAATGAGAGATAGAGAGCATGAGAGGGAAGAGGGTCAGAGGGAGAAGCAGACTCCCCGCCAAGCAGGGATCCCGATGCGGGACTCGATCCCGGGACTCCAGGATCATGACCCGAGCCGAAGGCAGTCGCTTAACCAACTGAGCCACCCAGGCGCCCAATCAACTGAAACTTTTGCTGCTCTGAAGAAAGTTGGCTTTCTTTAGAGGATATCACAAAGTGGGACAACTGGGTACTTTTCAAAGTAATTTGATAGATCTTCGGTATATTTGCCTGAGGCAATCCCAATTTGGCAGGGAGGCCAATGTTACTATGGAGCTCATACCTGCCTGGACATATTGAATGTGACATATAACTATCAAATTTGGATAATCAACTTCTGCTATTTAGGGCATAGGCTGGCTTAATTTCTAAATGTTAAATCCTGCATATAGGCTTCTTTACAAATGATTCCCGATACACGTCTGAAAGTATATTTTCATGAATGGCACTGGCCGTTCTGCTTACACAGAAAAAACTGACACCTGTAAAAAGCAAGCCCTGGTGTATGGAGTTGGAAGTTTTCTAGCATAAATGCCACTGTTGTCTATGATACAGACTAAAAATGATTAATAAGAACCTTGTTGGACACAGGCCTTGGGGGGCTTCAGAGCTGCCTTTTGTGTAGGTTATTTATTTGCATTTCAGAAAAGGAAAACTTGTGAAATATGAAGTAAGATTTAGTGAGCTAATGAGTGGGGGTAGGTGTACAAGCTTCACCAGATGCCACTTCTCATCTCAACAACCCAAACCTCCCACTTCCATCATCTTTTATAAATTTGTCCTTTTGTCTTTTAAAAGGTAGAGATGGACCGGAGTTGGATGCTACCCAGGGTACTGTTTTCCAGAAATGCCAGTAACAGAGAACAATAATCAGCATGGTAATGAAATGATTCTATTTATAACCTTCAACGAACCAGATGTTTCTATAATCACAGGGAGTCATGCTTTGATCAGTAGTTATCAGACTAGTAACAGAAAAAAATGCCTAAGGATTTTACAAGTTTGATTATCCCACTGCAGGAGCTAAAGTTCAGTCAGGACTTTACTTTATATATATATATTTTTTTATTTTTTTAAAGATTTTATTTGAGAGAAAACGAGAGTGAGAGAGATCACAGAGGGAGAGGGAGAGGGAGAAGCAAAGCAGGCTCCCCACTGAGCAGGGAGTCCAATGCAGGACTCAATCCTAGGACCCTGAGATCATGACCCAAGCTGAAGATTGGTGCCCAACCAACTGAGCCACCCAGGCTCCCCAGGATTTTCTTATATTTCCAATGATCAAATCATAAATGGGACTAAAACGTTTGGCTATTAGAAATGAAGTATAAACTGAGAGTTCATGAATTTACCAACTGTCTGGCTACTCCAGCTGGTACTGCATTTTAGTTACTACGCCAAAACAAAGTATTTCTCTGTGAGGTAGAAAGACACACACCTCAGATCCATCATCACTTTGAATGAGTTACTTACTCTTACCACTACACCACACTGTATTAAGAGCTTTGGTCCTACAATACAAAGACCTGGTTTCAAATTCTAGCTCCTCAATTTACTAGCTGTGTGTCATGGCATAAACAACTTGATTTTTTTTTTCCCTGAGTCTCCGTTTCCCTCATCTGCCAAATTACAGGATATATTCCATTGGGTTTTTGTGAGGATCAAATAAAATAATCTAAGAAAACCATGCTTAGCTCACCACTTGCCACACAGTAAAATGCTCTATAAATCAACACTTTTAATCAACTTCTGACACTTCTGGAGTTGGACTTTCCCTCTCCTTTGAAAATACATCCTTCTTTCTCACTGTGTAATATATATTTTTCTGTTTTAATTTTCATTGCAGTATAATACACATAAAATGCATAATCTCAAGTGTATAGCTTCATAAATTTTCAGAATATAACTAGCACCTAGAACACGAAACAGAGTACCATGAGCCTTATGAGCCCTGCCTTGAGCTCCTTTTATTGGGTCACTAGCCCCACCAAGGGTAAGCACTTCACTTACTTCATTTTTGTAAAAAATGTACTTTTTAAAACTGTTTGCCTATACAGTTTACAGTAGCATTAAAAAAAAATGTAATACTTGGGAATAAACTTAACAACATATGTGTTGGGCGCCTGGGTGGCTCAGTCGGTTAAGCGACTGCCTTCAGCTCAGGTCATGATCCCGGAGTCCCAGGATCGAGTCCCGCATCGGGCTCCCTGCTCAGTGAAGAGCCTGCTTCTCCCTCTAACCCTCCCCCCCTCATGTACTCTCTCTCTCTCTCTCATTCTCACTCTCTCAAAATAAATAAATAAATCTTAAAAAAAAAAAACCAACAACATATGTGTTAATACCTGTAACTGAAAACAACAAAACAGTGCTGAGGGAAATTTAAAAAGACCTAAATAAATGGAGAGAGATACTATGTTCACAAATGGGACTCAACATGGTTAAGATATTCATTCTTTCCAATCGATCCATTGATAAGCGTCAGTGCAGTATCAATGGAATTCCAGCAAGCAAACTAAAAAGCAGATTCTAAAATTTGAATGGAAATGCAAAGGACCTAAATGTTAGCCAAGTGATCTTGCAAAATAAAAACAAAGATGGAAGACTCACACCACTGAATTTCAAGACTTAACAATAAAGCAAGAGTAATCAAGATAGAGTGACTTTGGTGTAAGGACAAACATGTAGATCAAGGAAACAGAATACAGACTCCACAAAGAGACTTACATATGGCCAGCTGATTTTTCAGAAAGGTGCTAAGATAATCCAGTAAG